ATCTACATAACCCTCCTCTTATACCGCTTCTCCAGGGTGAATGATCCCAGTTCCTTCGATCAACTTAATATCAGTTTGCAGATCCCACTCTACCCACCAAGGCGGCCTCTTGATTCTTTCTCATTTTGTCTTTGTTTCTACATTCTCTCCAGAGGACAATCATCCAGACTTTGTTTACTTTTAAGTACTATAGTAGGGTGTGTCCATTATGTAAAATCAAATAGCACCACAGGGCTTTTACCCCAACCCATCTCTCTCTATTCCAAGTCCCTCTGCTTGGAGACAGCCTTCTTTAACTCTTTAACTCTTCCTGGGCTATGGTTTTCTCCATAACACTAAGTAATATTTTGTGTGTGTATGTGCACAAACACACGTGTGCATTGTATATATGAATCATATATGTGTGAACGCACACATACACGTGTATTGTAAATATCAATCATATATGTCTCCAAAGGATAAGAATTCCTACTATAACTACTAAACATGTTCAGCCAAAGACATCCTCTTCTACCTTTTGACTGTACCCTACCCTCTTTTCTCACATCTACATAACCCTCCTCTTATACCGCTTCTCCAGGGTGAATGATCCCAGTTCCTTCGATCAACTTAATATCAGTTTCCAGATCCCACTCTACCCACCAAGGCGGCCTCTTGATTCTTTCTCATTTTGTCTTTGTTTCTACATTCTCTCCAGAGGACAATCATCCAGACTTTGTTTACTTTTAAGTACTATAGTAGGGTGTGTCCATTATGTAAAATCAAATAGCACCACAGGGCTTTTACCCCAACCCATCTCTCTCTATTCCAAGTCCCTCTGCTTGGAGACAGCCTTCTTTAACTCTTTAACTCTTCCTGGGCTATGGTTTTCTCCATAACACTAAGTAATATTTTGTGTGTGTATGTGCACAAACACACGTGTGCATTGTATATATGAATCATATATGTGTGAACGCACACATACACGTGTATTGTAAATATCAATCATATATGTGTGTGTATATATATTAACTTGTATATTAATATAAAAATATATATATTTCTCCACTGAAAAAGAGGAATTACTTATACTCCTTTTTCTTTTTCTCGTTCTATTCCTCTCAAGCTAAATGTTTACGCACACATACACGTGTATTGTAAATATCAATCATATATGTATGTGTGTGTATATATATTAACTTGTATATTAATATAAAAATATATATATTTCTCCACTGAAAAAGAAGAGGAATTACTTATACTCCTTTTTCTTTTTCTCGTTCTATTCCTCTCAAGCTAAATGTTTTGCTTTTTTAGTACTACAGGTCATTATTATTTTAAATAATATACTTACACATTAATTATTTCATCACTAATTTGTCACTATCTCTGAGCACCTTAGGGCCCTCAAGGATCTGTTTTAAGCAAGGTGCCCAGAGCCACTATTTCAGCATGTTCTATCACAGGTACTGTCATTTCTTTAAAGCAGCCTGTTTTTTCATTAGCTGACTAAGCCATTCCATCATGGTTTTCACTTACCTTGAGCCTGAATGAGCAAAACTCTAAATCACATTCCTGTGAACAAATAGTCAAGTCCAGTGTCTACTATCCTGCCTTCAAAAATCTGATTCTTTAAGCTAGGACTAGAATTTTTTCTAGTTTTGATCCAGTTAAATGCGACAACGTTGTTTTGAATCCTAATTCAATTATATTGACAATTCCTCCCTGATTTGTCCACACATTTCATAGGACATAGTGAATGTCCAATAAACATTTTTTTAATTTGTTAAATATTTTACCTCACCTAATAACTATGTATTCATCTAGTTCATTGATGAAAAAATTAGCTAGAACAGATCCAAGAATATAGCCCTCCCACAAAAAAATCTGCCTCGCTTCTACATAGCTATTCACCCAATTGCAGATGTTGTACAAACCAGAATGAAATTTTTTGGGACTTTTTAAAATATCTTGCAGAAATAATTATGCTTGATGCATAGGGTAACCTCTCTCTCTGTCTACCAACCTCTATAACCTGTAACTAAGCCTGAACTGACCCAGCCAATCCTACCAGAAAAACAGCATTACCAATCCGTCTAACCCTAAGACCATATATGTTTATAAAGAAAAGTGGGTTTTCATGGCAAGAATTTTTAATTAAAGAACTCATTCTCGTTCTTAATCATTACTAAAAAGAATTTATTTAAAACATTCTGGCAGCTCTCCAGGAAATGTTTATCCTCAAAAACATAAATTCTGTAAAAACTAAAATAAATACATTTTAGTGTGTTCTAAGTATAAATAGAATTGATAAGCTGTTAGAATGTTACAGCATTAGATTAGAAACAACTAGATCATTCTCAAACACTCATATTACTAATGATAGTCTTGTCCTCATTATTCAAAATCTTGTCTTGTTTGGTATAAACTCCCTTCTAAAAAATAGAAACTAACTTCATGTCAGCATAATAATCTGGGATATAGTTGAATATAGATTAACAATAACTCAACAA